TGCAGGTGCAGGAAAAAGACAGAAATGAACTTTTTGTTGGTGTGACTGTTCACAACGAATACATTCCTGAGTAATTTTTTTTTCAAAGAAAGGACAATCCTCAAATATTTTGAGAAATGACATTTTCTCCTTTTATCTACGCATCTGTACCATGTATTCTTCCTTTTTCTATTCTCTAAAAAATGAAACACGCTACAACACAATTATCTTCAAACTATCAGCATCGTGCTACGTGATGGAGCAGGAAATGGAGAATCTATTCTTATAAAATAGTCTACAACTAAACAAAGGTCATATATATCACAAAAGCAGTAAGCAAGTGAAATCCTAAACTAAAATCAATCACAGGGATTACCAGTTTCAAAATGCTTACCTCAAAGTTGTATTCCCATTTACCTGCATGCTAACAAAAGCAAAGGAATGGCAATGTACAGTCAAACTATGACCCAGGAAAATGTATAGAAAGCATTATGTTTCTTTCAACTGCCTATACCATCTTCAGGCTTTATGGTAGAGATAGTCAACTAAATATTTCTAACATCTAAATCTTGGTAGTTGACTTCAAAAAGAGGTTAAAGCATATGTCCGGTCAGATTTTTTTCCATAAAAGCAATAGTGACAGAAATAGTTTTTCTCTATTTGAGTAATTGAGAACCATTTGGGGTTGTGGTGAAAGCAACAGGCTAGAAACCAGGAGACCATGAATTCTGGTTCTACCTTAGGCACAAAGCCAGCTGAGTCATCTTGGGCCAGTCATTCTCTCTCATCCCTAGGAAGCAGATAAACGCAAACTACTTTGGAAAAACCTGATCAAAAAAACTTGGCCAGACTTCAGAAGTAAAAAACTGATATGAAGGCATGTACACATGCTTACACACACATTCTCTCTCTCTCTCTCTCTCTGTCACACACACACACACACACACACAATTTGTGAAAAGAATGCTAATAATTTGGCAAAAGATTGCAATTCAATTGTTGGTTTAAAGCCTTCATGGCATGGGACCATCTCACCCCACTGGGATTGGCGCGTACCACTCATGCTGGCGGAGGGGGCATGCTGCGGGTCCCGTCAGCCTGATTATTCTGGCTGGAGGGGCCCAGGAAGAAGGGCCCAGGGGCCTCCTGCTGTGGCTCCTGCCCTCCGAAACATTTTGCCCTCAATGTGAGGTTGGCCACAGCCCTCCTATCTTTTTGTAAGGGCCTGAAGATATGGCTCTGCCAGTTGGCTTGAGGCCCCAGTGGGGGAACAGTGCAACGATGGTGATGGATTGAGTAATACAGATACCACCAGTGGCACAGGCAGTTATGTGTGCTCCTAGAACAGTATATATTACATCTCTAGTCTACAAGCTGCACTGATTACCAGTTTGCTTCTGAGTTGCATTTGAAGTATTGTTTTTGACCTTTAAAGCCCTTCATAGCATGGACTGAACTATCTGAAGGACCACCTCTCCCCTGTTAGATCTGGCAGAGAAGGCATGCTGCAGGTACCATTCCTAGGGATCTACATTTTGTGGGTCTTAGTAGATGTACCTTTGTTGTCATGGCGCCCATCTTATGAAATAGCCTTCCTCCTGGAATTAGATTAGCTCCACCCCTTTTGACATTCTGAAAAGCCCTCAAGACCTGGTTTATGTTATCGGGCTTGAGGCTCCCAGCGAACTGGAGACTTGTTTAGATGGCTCCATTGCTGAGCTGATTATTTTTATCCTCCCTTCCCCTAGGGTTTGTATCTCTGTTAATGTGATTTTTGTATTTTTTATATCTGTGGGGTTTTTTCTGATTGTTCTGCGCCACCCAGAGATCCTTTTGGTAAGAAATGGCTATACAGATAGATAGATAGATAGATAGATGGATGGATGGATGGATGGATGGATGGACGGACGGACGGACGGACGGACGGACGGACGGACGGACGGACACCATAGGAGAAATTCTTAACCCTTTTCCAGGGCTGTAAGTTGGATCAGAATTGATGCTCCCTAATGGTGCACTGTACTGGTTAAGGCACCAGGCTAAAAACCAGGAAACCGAGAGTTCTACTCCTGCTTAGACAGTCACTCTCAATCCTCAGCAATGGCAAACCACTTTTAAAAACTTTGCCAAGAAAACTGCAGGAACTAAACCAGACGGTCACCAGAAGTTAAAACTGATTCAAAGCTACACACACACACGGACGCATAGAAGAATATTAGAAGATTTCTAGAAGAAATTTTTAAAACAATATTAATTTAAAGATTCCTTTTGCATCATATGGAAGAAGCTAGTTTCTAAAAATACAGAGCTGCCATATATTAGTTAGCTTCAATGCGCTAGGTCACAGGGGTAGGCAACTTTGGCTCTTTTATGACTCGTGGACTTCAACTCCCAGAATTCCTGAGCCAGCATGGCTGGCTCAGGAATTCTGGGAGTTGAAGTCCACAAGTCATAAAAGAGACAAGGTTGCCTACCCCTGCGCTAGGATATCAACTGAGTCATTTGATAATGCCATAGTTCCTGGAACTCTCTAGGTCCAGTTCAGCATAATTTAAGATGAATAATCTCCTTAAGGCAGCTGGGTTGCCTCAGCACTTCTTTTTTCAGTATTCAGTAAATGGTTACTGAAGAAAAAAGTAAGGGTAAAGAGACTCTGGTTTTATATTGACATTAAATAAAATTCTATTAATACTTATAGTAAAATAACCATTTCCATTTGCAATTTGTAAAAACTAAAAACACAATCCAAAGTACCTTAAATCAAGTCACAATTTGTAAATTGCAATAATGATAACACAATAAAAATACATTTTTACCCTATCGTTATATATCTGGAGTGCTGTGGGTTTTTCCCTCTTTCTTAATTCAACTTGGTAAGCTAGCACTACAACAAAATGATTCTACCGACAAATTGCCTTTTCTATGAGTTTCTTATCACAGAACTACAACATATTCCCTTTTTGCTGGCTCCATCTAATGGTTGTTTCTGATTTTGCAATCTGATTTTTTTATAAGCTTCTAACATAGCTTCAAAAAACGCTGGTGAAATTTATTTTCAAATATCCCACATGACAACATTTGCTATAAACTATTTATCTTCTTACAAACATGGTTTCAAACTAACTATTAAAATAGTTGGTTATTTTAATACTGAATTGTACAGATATTATAAAACTGTCATCTGATTTTTTTAAAGAAACCCATATATTAAATCGCATGAGCTTTAATATGGTAATGAATCAGTAATAACTGCAAAAACCTGTATATCAAAGTAGAAAAGTAATACACATATGTATCATATAAAGTTTTGCTCCTTGAGTACATCAGGTTCTTAAATATTTTCCATAAAGCTACAGCTAAATATGTTGTCAGTGAAATGGCATGGATTGTTTTTTCTTTTTCAACGCTGCAACTGTCTGACTGTATCTCATATATTTATAACATGTCTTCTTGCAGTAATGAAATTGCATAATGTATGTTTTGCATCCCAAACATCCTGCTGGCTTAGTATTTATGGGTGAAGAATTATGTACCTAGTCACAATATTTTATGGGAATGCATGTTTTATTATGTAGCATATCATTCCCAGATAATGAAAACTTCCTTGAAATAATAAATATTGCTGGTTTATTGGGAAACAGATCACTGCATAAATTGTAAGGTTCAAAATTACAGTAGATAGGAATATATTTTCCACGTGTGAACTTGAAAGTATAATCCCAGTGTGATGAAGACCCATCTGTCATATCTGAAATTAAGTCTAGGATGGCTGCAACAGCTGCTCTGTTTCATCAAGTTCAGTGTCAAACAGTGTCCTTCTGCAAATATAGAAGGAAGTCTAACAACCAGTTTCTTCCTCACTCAGCTATGTAGTTAAATGCCGACCTAATTTACTTTATTGTTTACTCCTTTATTTCTGCTCTTGCTTTGAAGAGGGGTGAGCTTTTAATACAACCTATCCCTCCAAACAAAAAATCTAGCAAAATGTCCTTTGTAGGATGTTCCATGATGGGTCTTTAAGATAGACTTCATTGGCCCATCTAATCCAGATCTCTGCTAGAATAGTCCACCTCTGTATGTAGAACTAACTAACTTTCTGCTATAGAAATTAATACATTTTCCTAACTGTGTGCCTCACTACTTTCTTTAGTATGCTTGCTTTATTCTTTTGCCAATAACTTTTACTTATTTATAAGACCAGGACTGACTTGGCTTTGTGCATAAACTTTGCACAAGAATGTTTACCATGCTAGACCTAAGAGGTGGTGAAGGAAAGAAGGAAAGCAGACTGAACTGTCTGATTTCCAAGCATGTCCATACCTTATAACTTTTTAGACTTTTCCACTTCAGATAAGAGGAATAGGAATGGTGACAGTTTATCCTCATTCTTTAAATCCTGTGCAATCTTGTTTTACAAGGAAGTGAGGAAATGGCTAAAAAGAGTCCCTGAAATTAAGTCATTTCGTGCACCCATATTCTGAGAGAAGCAGTTTTTGAAGCAGCTGTAGATGCCTTCTAAAAACAAAAAGGGGGGGTACTCTTCAGGGTCCTACATGTTGTGAATACTCTTTTTAAATGCTCTGAATAACCTAATAAATGAGTAGTTAGTGATTCATTGTCTTTAGGCTCAATTATACAGAGAACTCAAGTTTAGAAGAGGTTACTGTGGTAGAAGGAATAATAATTTACATGAGGGATGGGGTTAGAAGGGAAAGAGATGCAAAGTTGGTATCCTCACCCCCCCCCCCAATGTATCTGAAAATAAAGGGGGGAGAAACAACGGTGAAAACATTTCTTAACAAATTCACCAACCTGCTAAAGAATCTTCTCAACCCTGGCAACTTTAAGATCTGTGGACTTCCAATTCCCGGAATTCCGCAGCCAGCATGCTGGATGTGCCAACATGCATATCTTAAAGTTGGCAAAGTTGAGAAATACCGCTTTAGCCTTTGTTGTTGTTGTTAGCTCCAGGCAAGCAATAGTATTGTTCAAATCCTTCATTTCTATATTTGAATAAATACCTCGGCATCGTATTCCCAAAGTTGATTTCCTCTCATGTGATGGCACTTCAGCATAATTACAGGCCCATTGAGCCTAGAGACATCCATACATAAATCATCTGTGCGGATTTCCTTGTCGGCAGTGTATGAAAATACCTGGAAGAGAGAGGTGTTCGTAAAATAATAGCTAATGCTGAAGAGAAAAAGTTAACAATGACATGGAAAGCATATGGAAAACATAGATTTTGCTTCAAACCTGATAACTCCCATTTCATCCATTGCCTGGCCATTCCAGTGAATGTGAATGCACACAATAAAGATTTTGGCTTTGAGCTCAAGGATCAGCAGTAGGCAATCTGTATTTTGTTTCTTAATCTGTATTATGTACAGATGGTCCTTATTTACCGACTATTTGAATTTATGACAGCACTCAACAAGTATTATATTTATAACTGGTTCTTATTGTTGAGGCTATCACAGCATTCCTGTGGCCATGTGAACGTGATGTGGGCTCATGGCAACCAGCTCGCAGTTCAGCTTGCAGCATCCTGCAGTTATGGGATCACCCTTTGCAACAATCACTGCCAGCTTCCAACAAAGTCAATGAGAAAGCCAGGAGGAGGTTGCAAATGGCAACAGCATAATGTCAAGCTTAATAATGCTGTGGAATTCGCTTAATAATGGCAACTTAAAGTGCCAGAACTGCCATCGCTAAGCGACAGTCACGTGACATTACGGTACATTTCGCAACAGCATTCCTTAGTGACAGAAATTCCAGTCCCAATCACCATCATTAAGTGAGGATCTTAACTATGTGAAAAACAAAGTAGTGCAATGAACCAGATCGTGTTCTCTGAAAAGCAACTTAAGAATGAAACCCTATACATCACTATTCAGGAATACTTTTGTGAAGTTAAAGTTACAGAACCAGATATGGAATTGTGTTGTACTCTACTTGATTACCAAGATTAAAGTTGCGTACACTGTACCTTTACGGCAGTAAGCGTCATTGAATTTAATGGGGCTTGCATTTCAGTAGTTAAATATAGTGCTTCTTTTTCAAGATAGTCTGTAATGATAATCTTGGAAATTGCCTTCCATGTAGAAAGCATTAATTACTCCAAGATTCTTAACAGACATTTATAGAAAAATAGGGTTGATTCTGCTAAAAAAAACACCTAGAATTACTAGGATGGATTTTGATTGCAAAAGCCATTTGAGTGACTAGGGAAGTCTGAATGTCATATACTCTATTACAATTCTCTATTACAAACTGCAATTAAAACATAAAAATAAATTCTGTACACAGGGAGCGGTTATGAGGACAAAAATAAAGCACAAATATGTTTTCAATAAGCTCAAGCTTTGGGATATTTTAATCATGTAAATAAATATTCAAATGTTCGTGAAATGGAGATACAGTTGAGATATTTTAAAAAATTCAGGTTTCTAAGCAGTGTAATTCAATTATGTAGAGTTAATGTTCATGTATGCTATTACTGTTTTATTGTTAAATAGAATGATATATTGATAGGTTGGCACAGCCTGAGAGACATCTAAGATCTACATCAAAGGCACTTGGTTCAAATCTTCTAATGGCAATTAACTTGATAAGCAGTCTGTGCCTTCAATGGTCCCTGAAATATGAGGTAATATTACCGAACTCCTCATAAGTTCATTTTAGGGATCATAGAATTCAGCTATGTAAAGCACTTTACAGTGTTATATAAATGTGAAACATAAGCTCTCAAACAGCTTAATTAATCATGCTATAAATATTAAAAGTAGCACCTGACAATTAATAACATGATTCATGCAAATATTACAGGAGAGGTGAATACATTGTTTTTTATAGCATAATTTCTGGAGAGCTGACTTTACCATAAAAAAGCAAATCCTTGTTTTATATTTCGAAGAGAAGGGAGAATATATAATAATAGAAGAATTGGACAACACAGTTTCCTTTGCTATTTTGTCTTCTTTCTGTGAGTCAGAGTGGGCCTAGGAAAATGCATCTGCCCCCATGAACAAAGCTGTAGAATGCAACAAGAAGTGAATAGATTTTATTTGGTTTTGTTTCTAGGGCTGTTCATGATTCTTTATGTTTATGTGTTTACCTTTATTTGTAAGTCACCCAAAGTCGTTTGGAGTTGGGTGTATAAAAAATTGTATAAACAAACATAAATACATAAATAAAATTCTGTTTTCATAAGCTCTAATGATGGTGGCTGTTTCTCCAGGAAAAGATACATGAAAACACGCTGAATCTCCTTTGGTTCAAAATTTGAAAGTGATACGAATATCTTCGGTGGGTTTTTAGATTTCAAATGTTTACATATCCATACAGAACATACCATAGATGTTGAGGGGAGGAAGGCAAGGAGGATTAAGAAATGAAATGTGTGATGTCATGCAAGGTTGCAGTACAACTTTGTGTTGCAAAATCTCCTCTTTAAGTACCTGAATGCAATGTTGCAACACAAGTATGAAAGGACACAATTTGCCTTATGAGGACACGGTGCACTTTTTATGATTTTAGCATCCTTATGGACTGCTGCTGATGGACATCCCACACCACAATATGTACTGCACAAGACTGACTTGGAGCAGTAAAAGACTTTAGATGCAGCAGCATTATAACAGAATTGCAGCTGATTAAATTTGGGATGTAAAAACGAAGAAATGTAAGATGAAACAGGCAGTAAGAAAGGAAAAAATGAAAGAGAAGAAAGAAAAGAGTGCAGAGAAGAAAAGAAAGAAAAAAGTGCAGAGAAGAAAAGAAAGAAAAGAGTGCATTCTGAAAGAGTGCAGAGGAGAGCAACAAAGTTGATTAAGGGCTAGACGCTAAAACATATGAAGAATGGTTGCAGGAATTGGGTATGGCCAGTCTAGAGAAAAGAAGGAGTGAAATGATAGCAGCATTACAGTATTTGAGGGGTTGCTGCAAAGAAGAAGGGGTCAATTTATTTTCCAAAGCACCAGAAGGCAAGACAAGAAACAATGGATGGAAACTAATCAACGAGAGAAGCAACCTGGAATTAAGAAGGAAATTCCTAACAGTGGGAACAATCAACCAGTGGAACAGCTTGTCTTCAGAAATCGTGGGCGCTCCATCACTGGAGGTTTTTAAGAAGAGACTGGACAGTCATTTGTCTGAAATGGTATAAGGTCTCCTGCTTGTACAGGAGGTTGGAGTAGAAGACCTCCAGAGTCCCTTTCAACACTGTTATTGTTACGTTTTGTTAAGAAGCAACATTATAAAGGGGATAGGTAGAAATTACTAATTCCAAGCTGCCACTTAATTTGAAGCCAGATCTTGTTCAGAATAAAATTAAGTGAAATTAAAGCAATATAAGTGGCATCTATTTTAATTATTTACAAGGCTCCCAATCATTTTGAATTCACCCCTCAACCAACCTAAAGGTATTCTAATCAAAAGTAAAAGAAATGTGTTCTCCCTTAGTTGTTGAAAGCAACCTTTTGCCAATTAGCTATAGAATGCTGCCTTTGGCGAAGCGTACAAATTGAATTTGATTGCATTACCAATTAGAGAATGCATGCAAATCATTTTAAGTTACCAATTAGGTGCTTTAGAAAGGAAAAAGATTAAAAACAGATTTAATCGCAATTTATTGTTAATATTCTAATATTTAGTTACACATGATACAAAGTTCTTTATAAAAGAATGTTGCAAATGCTTAAACTGCAACTATACACATGTAAAAACAGTTTATACAAGCAACTTCTAATAGCATGCAAGAAGGAAAAATGTTTAAATTCTTAACTTATGATTCATATATTATTGGGCAATTAAAGGAATAGGAGCCCTTTTCACATAAGACATTTTTTAAATGTATGAGAAAATATATAGGTTACTTATTGCCATTTCAGATGATGTTGGCCAATGTAAATAAAGAATTCTTGCATTAATTTAAAATAAGTAACTGAAGTGCAATGGTTAAGTTCATTTGGGAAGGATAGTACTATATGCATAAGCCAAATGACCGGATATTCTTTTGAATAAAATATTATATTGCTGATTTTTTTTAATGTAATAAGGAATATATTAATTACGCCTAATGTTTAATTTACTTAATTGAATATGCCTACTACACTATCTAAAATTAGCTTTATGAGACAATTGAAATTTTGCCTTTATTAAAAAAAACTTACAGAATTTGTGTATCTGTGTGAGAGGAGGCAATATTCTCTCTATATATACTTCTTTTAAAATGTAAATATGGATATAGGACTATCCTGCTATTGTCATAAATTGTGTGATAGTCATTATGACATATCAATGGATTGTATCAGTTTCTATCTTGTGGTACTTCCTTTTTAAGACCCTGCAATCCCTTAAAGTACATTATTTCTACAAATTATTTTAAGAATGTCAGAAATGACCTTCAAGAGATTACAGATTCTTATATATATAAAACTGGCAAAAGGAACGTCCCTACCATAGAATTCAAGGAGGGGAAAAAAGGTCTTGTAACAACCAGCTCTAATGCAGAATGGACATTTTTTTTTCTTTCCAGTTCAACATAGAAAATTGTATTGTAGGCCTCCCAGAGTCACTCTAGATAGTGAGATGGGTAGTGTATAAATTTAATAAATAAATAGATTTAATAAATAAAATAAACAGAAAGTGCAGCAGTGCAATTAGAAGGGGATTGAGGCTCCAGGGCATCAAAACAGCACTTCGGGCAGATTGTCCATTTCTACTTTTATGGTGTGCCATGAAGTCAATATTGATTCTTAGCAACCACATAGGTATGGTCTATCTCCAACCTGGCGTTTCAGATATCCCAACGCTGCACTCATCACTGCTGCAATTGTCTATTTACCTTCCTGCTGGTTATCCTCTCTCTTTCTTTCCATTGCTATAGCTTTCTCAAGGCAGCCTTATCTTCACATATGGTGTCCACAATATAATTTGAGGCTGACCATTTGTACCTTGTGTAAGAATTCTGGATTAATTTGTTCTATGAACCATTTGTTGGCTTGGTTAACTCATGTATTCGTGTATTCCCATGGGTATTCTCCAATTCCAAAATCCAAAAGCAGTGATTCTCTTTCTCTCCTGGTTCTTCAAAGTCCAACTTTCACTTCCTTAGAGTATCACTGCTTACACAATTGTCATTTTTGTAGGTATAGACCAGGGGTAGGCAACCTTGGCTCTTTTATGACTCATGGACTTCAACTCCCAGAATTCCTGAGCCAGCATGGCATCTGAATATTTTTTTCCCAAGGCCTTCATCACTAAATGCCCCCAAGAATTAAACTGCAGTATATTTCTTGACTGCTAGCGCCTTTACTATTAATAGTTGATCATAAAAGGATGACATTATCCATTATATCAATATCTTCGTCGTGAGTACTAAGATTGGTTGCTGTACTTATTCTCATTAGTTTGGTCTTCTTCATTTTAATCGCAGTCCCATTTTTTCCATTGTGCTCCTTGACTTTCACTACTAGAGCTGGCAGAGCATTTGCATTTTCAGCTATCAGAATAGTGTCATCAGTGCCAGCTTATGATGTTTCTTCCTCTAATTTTAAAACTATGCTAATCTTGCAATTCATTCCCCCCCCCCCCAATATTTGCTCAGCCTATGGATTGAATAAAGAAGGAGAGAGGATACAGTCTTGTCTCATGTCTATCCTGACCCGGAGCCAGTCTATTTTGCCATATTTTATTCAGACTGTGATTTCTCATCCTGTGTATAGAGTTCACATAAAAGATGGTTCAAGATTCCCATATCTGTTAAGGACATTTCACCACTTGGCATGCTCATCACAATAAAATACCTTTATATAGTCAATGAAGCATTTGACCTCTACTTTCTCTGAATTTAAAGTTGTGGGAAATTAAATACTTGTATATTTAAAGTGAAATTAAGCTTTAGTTCTTATGCAAAAAAAATTCCCATGCTCTGAATTAATTTTCTATAAAACAATGGAAAAAAATCCCTTCTCTGTTCAATTCTTTTTTACTCCATCTCCTGCAATCTGTTATATATGGACTAGAATTTGCACTTTTGTCTGAGAATTATCAAAATGTAGTAGGAATAATGGGATGAAGCCTGTCTAAGAAAAATAGGGACAATTACTTACTTTGTTCACTTAAGACATTGTAATATATCTTAAAGCAAAGCACAGCATAATATAACCCAATGTAGAACAAGCTTGTAGTATAATTGTTGGAATCTCAATGAAGCTTCAAACTACTTAAACAGATATTTCATTTAGTGTTTTTTTATTTGTTTTGTTTTTTTACCCAATTTGATTTTATTTTGCGTTGATTCACTACCACTTAGGAAAATAAGCATTATTTAAGCGTTCAGATTTTGGGAGGAAAATGAATCTATGTTCAATATGTTCTGTCAGAATTCTTCAAATTATTCAAGTTCTAATGGAACAAAACTTAAACTGTTTGAAGTGTTCTACCATAGGGAACAATGAAACAACATCATAATGGCAACTCAGTATGTAATGCACACACACTTATATATCCTTTCTTCACACAGGTACAAAAGGACAGAAGCTGTCATTGTGATATTGTAATGTTTATTTTGTACCTTCCCCCCTAACACTAATGCCTATATCCATGTGCTAAGCCTTAGAAATAATTTTTAAAATAAGGTATATTTTACCTGATTTCCTCCCATGCCGTGACAGTTGAATATGCCTACTTTTTCATTTTCCTTACGTCCCATATTATCTAAACATTGGTTTGTCTCAACATTTCTGATCTGTGAAGAAAAATAAAACTAATTACATTTCATAATAATTATTACAAGAAATAGTTAAGGGGAAAAACCAGCAGGAATTTAATGGTTTTTGACATTATGTAAAATTTAGGATGATGCCCAATTACACAAACATGTTTACGCTGGGTTCAGTATGAGTTAGTCTCCAGTAAGCATGTCTACTCAAAAGAGGTGTCATTCGATGCACATGTTATTTCTAAATAAAATATTGTGTTAATCGTAGTTTTGTCTAAGAAACGGCACCACCATTTTCACTTGTGCAGAAGAGATAATTTCTATGAAAATTATTCTTTCCAAAGTACTGCTTTTGGAAAGTGACACTCCTAGATAGCTTTCAATGAAAGATTAACAAAAAAAAAAAAAAGAATGTACACTGTGCCCTATTTTAGTGCTTATGTTATTTGCACAAATAAAATTCTATTTGTTTCTCAGCATTCCTTATATTTTAGAAGACCTTTCAAACATTATCCTTGAAGAAAAGCTTCAGATCATATGAGCAGTATTATCAGTACAAAGTAGATTTTTGCAATTATGTTTCAGCCTGGAAAACATCTTATAGGCAATGCTATTTCTTTTTGTGGAAAACAATAAAGACTTTTTGTACTCAATGCTGAGAATTAGGCCCACTGCAAAGCTAAAAGTGCTTAAGACTGCTGTGTTAAGGTGGATATTATTTTAAACTGGGAAAATTGGTAAAAAGATAAAGGTACTGAATAGGCTTTTGGATTTTGTATAGATCGTTGCTACTGTCCTTCCTCTGAAAGTCTCTTGCCAAGACTTCATTAGTTCCGATTCTCCACACAATCGCTTCTTACTTATATATCCTATCTCCTAAAGACACTGCAAGGTAATCCTTGCAGGTAATCCTCGGTTGCCGACCACTCGCCCAGCATCCATTCAAATTTAAATTTACAACAATGTTGAAAATAGAGACTTATGATTGGTCCTCAAAGTTGAGGCTGTAACAGCATGCCACGGTCCTATGATTGCCATTTGTGACCTTCACAGCCTGCTTCTGACCAGCAAAGTGAATGGGGAAGCTGGCAGGAAGTAGCAAAGTCAGTGGGGAAGCTGACAGGAAGTTGCAAGTTGACATCATATGACTTGACAACAGGGGCACATTTATTTATTTTTTAAACAAGTTTTATTGTTTTCTTCATTTTACAAACAAGTGCTTAAGAAACAACGTGGTGGCAGGGCAGTCAATTGTCCACAAAACAAAGTCATATTCATAAAGTTCAAATTAAGTCATTAAAAACCTCCTCTTTTTTCCCCCTAATGACATATTATATTCAAATTGATATATTACAATACAACTAAATCAATCATAGCAATCCTCAATAATCTTTCGTCTAAATAAATCTACAAATCCGAATCCTGTATTGAGTTTACCTATTTCACTTACTATGTTTCATAGTATTCAACAGTTTCAAATGTGGAGATTTGACTTTTCAAAACAACAAGGGACTACCTACAAAGGAGCTAGGTCTCTACAACAGAAAAGAGGACGTCTCTGGTTGATTCAAAGGATTTTACAAGGCATAAAGAGTGACTTGTTCATTGATATAGAGGTTATGGAAACCGGTTTGGCATAAAAGGAAAGCCAGAATAAGATTTAAGGATGTGACTTAAGGTTTTAGGTAATGGGTTTAAAGGGCTTATCAGATATGGATTGATTTATGGCTTAAAACAGTTAAATAAGAGATTAGATTGAATAAAAACTAATTAAGGTTTGAACTTAATAACTTGTTTTGTTTATGTATTAATATGCTTTGGATACAGTAATTTTGGGAGGACATTAAAGAAATTTGATACAGATATTGAGGGATTGATTGTTAGATTATAAAGAATAATAGAAATAGAAAGGTATTTTTCTCTTTTCTTTCTTTTTGTCTTGTCTTTGTTTTTGTTTTTTTGTTTTTTTCTCTCTTTTTTTTCCTCCCTTTCTGATTTGAATTAATATTTTCTTTTCTTATTAGAATTGATAGTTATTCGTAATGGAAGAGGAATAAGAAAAAAGGATGAATAAATGCTTATTGAATATGTTAAGGGAAAAGGTTATAGGGAGACCCCCGAAGTGTTAACTAGGTATTTAGATTAGAAATATGGAACATAGTAAACAGGGGCACATTTATGATGGTTGCAGCATCCCATGGTCACATGATCCCTATTTGCAACCTTCACAGCCAGCTTCCAACAAGCAAAGTCAATGGGGAAGCCGGCAGGAATTTGCAAGTCGCAGTCATGTGACATCACATTTAATGACCTATACTGATTTGCCTAATAACCTGCAATCAGACCTGATAGAACTGATCCTGTAAGTCGGTGCAATCACATTATATTGTGCTTAACAATTATGTCCCTTAGCAATGGACCTGCCAGTCCTAATTGTGGTTGGTAATTGAGGACTACCTGTAAAAATGGCTAGTCTGGCAAGTAGGGATATGTAAGCAGATATAGGCAAAAAATTATCTTTTAATTTTCTTGTTAACAACTCTTTCAAGATAGACCATCCCAATGTTGTCCTCCCATTTGCTTGGAAGTTCGACCACACAAATTTATTCAACATTACTGGTGTTTCTGTGTGGTAATTTTCTTCTTTTGTAGCTCTAAGACTAAAATCTGTTTTACATTTACAGTTGCAGGAACCATAAATGGCAGATTATAATGACCATCCTTTTAGAAATATGGAGAAGAATTGTGGAATTTTTTTTATGCAGCTGAAAATGGCTACTTGAATAACAGTCACTGAGAAGAGTAATCACATGGAAATCTCTTTTAAATGTGAGTATGTTAAATAAGGAGTGTAAACTCAGCCTTAAAGTAAGATATCATATTTTGCTCCACTTCTTTCATTAAGAGTAATGAACGAGTTCCAAGTTCTCTCGTGAAATGTCCATTAAATAAAATGTGAATACATATTCAGGCTACCCACGGTCTCTCCACTCCAAACATTTATTTTTTTTTAAATGGATATTAAGATACCCAATGTCTGAACTGTAGGAAGTTTCTGCCTAAGTACTTGGACAATCCTTTTTATGAATCTGGAGTTCAATGATTATCTTTTTATTAAAAGAGAGCTAAAAGAATATAAAATGAAATATCTATTTCTCAGGAGAAAAAACAGTACTTGATTAGGATTTGTTTATTAAATAAAAATTGGACAAGCTTCATTAAACTACTTAAGGACTTCCTTCCAGCAGCTTTAAGATTTCATGCTTCGTAATTTTCATTTCAGAATGTCAAAAAGATATCTAACTGAGTAAAATAGTAATTATTATATAATAATACTCCAGAAGATCTAGATGCTAACAGAACTATAAAACAGACTGATTTCAATTCTTGCTTTTAGGAGCTGGATAAGTCTGATAAAGTGGAGAATATTTATTACATTACACTGAAATGATAGCAACTATATGCACTTTCATTTTATGAATAATCTCTCTAAGCAATATAATGGAAAGATTGATCAATATAATTTTGTGTGGTCAATCTTTTTAAAAATTACTGTTTCTCCTCTATGAAATCTAATATGTTTTTGTTTCATTCTTGTCTTGATTTCTCATCATGTCTTTTCCTTTTCCCATACATTGACGCAATGGAATATTACAGAAATGAAAGGTTTCATTTCAGTAAAAAAAATCAGTAAAGAAATGAATTTAAAAAAAGAAATCTGAAAGAGGGAACAGGTGCCACAGATTGTATAAAGCCTATGATATATGATTTTCTGTAAGTTACTCAAATTTGTTTGCCTATGTAGAGGAAAGTAATGTATATTTTTGCTAACAAATATCTACAGTATTCCACGTTCCATATTTGTTATATTTCCATCAATGTGCAAATCTTCATATCAGAAACATATTCAAAATCACTGTTTTGTTTTTCTCTCAGGGTCATCTTTGATATAGTCTGAGACTTTTAATTTTTTTCCATCCATGAGGCATAATCTAAATCAGAGGTCCCCAACCTTTTGGGTTCCAGGGACCTTTTATGTGGAGAGAGGTTTTTCCATGGAACAGAGAATGTGTGGCTTTGTGTGCTGCCTGCATCCTGCAGATGTGGCTTTGCTTGTTTGTGCAGACCAGTTGCTGGCATGCCGCGGCCCGGTACTGGTCCATGGACCAGGGGTTTGGGACCCCTGTTCTAAATGACTGACGTCTGCAATGCTAAATACTGATTTGGACCTTCTTCTGAGTAAATTTATTTAGCACACATTGCATGTCTCTATATAACCCTTTTATTTTTTTTGACCTGTTCTTAATAAACGATTAATGCAAATGTTAGTCTTGCTATATCCCAGGAGTCTCCAACCTTGGCAACTTTAAGACTTGTGGACTTCAACTCCCAGAATTCTTCCATCAGCCATAGATGTCTCCACATACTAACTGAGGAATTCTGGAAGTTGAAGTCCACAAGTCTTAAAGTTGCCAAGGTTGGGGAACCCTGCTATATCCTATATAATCTATTCCTAGATAGGGGAAATTCCCTAGAAAGTTACCTGAAATTGACAAGCAGTCAAGGTTTCTTTCACAGTTGTTTGAACTTCTCCTGCCCTCTCCATAGAAACCCAGTGCTTATTGATAAAAGTAAAGTACTCTTTAACTATTACTTCATGCCTTTACTCATCTGACTTTGCTATCTATCTATTGTATGCCCCGTCCTGCAATTATTTCTCTTACTTGAAGCTTCTGTTTTTAAAATATTCTTTAAATATTATTAGATTTTTTCTTAAAATCTAGTTTTGGCATTCACATTTCTAAGAGATTAATGTCATTTCTCTATCCATACAAGCTTTTGGTTTTTTTCTTTTTTAAAAATACAGTAGATCATAAATAAAACATTTTTGCTGCTTAAGAACAAAATGAAAAAAGCAAAAAATTAATAGGGAAAGTTATCTAGCAATATAGATTGCTTCAAAAGAAGAGCAGTTTCAGAAGAGGCTGAGTCATCACAACCTCTTCCTTCCTTGCTCCTCCAGAAAG